TCTATGGCAAGCCGATTTAACATTTATTCCTATTTCTTGATATTAAGATTTACCATTGCTTTACAACAGAAAATAATTTCTTGATATCAATAATCCAATTCTTGATATTGAGAAATAGGAATAAAATGTTAAAACGGCTTACCGTGGACACGCATGATCAGTGGACGTTCACGCCGTTCTCGTACACTCAATCTAATAGTCCCTATTGTGTGAGTGGCTAACACGCATCTTGGAGCTGGAGATATGTTTTTATTTTTTGTTGAATTATTCATGAGTAAGGCAGTATACGGGCAGTACGCATTTCTTTCTTTTTCTTTTTCTCTTTCACCTCTCTCTCCCTTTTTCCAGTTCGTGGTTGCCCAACCCCCCCCCCCCGCATTTGTAAGTCGCTTTACCATGTATTACCGTAGGAAGATCAACAGATGAGAATAGTCTATTGATCAATAATATTGGAGGTATTTAAGTTTCATAGTCATATTCATCCTTCAAGTTGGATTGATTATACAATGTAGTCATTTGGCTAACTTTCAATTTAATCAAAATGAATTTGACAGAACTTAAGTTATTCATGTCTGACCTTGTTTCTAATTGAGTTTACCAGATTTGATAAAAGATAAAGGCAGTATTTGTCATAATGTTTATCAAGGTATTAAGAATTTCCAAATAGTTTGTCTTACGATGGTTTTGTTTTTCAAAAATAAGTTGTACCCATTTAAACATTGGCATGACGAAATTCTTTTTTTTTTGTATCTAGATAAACGTATATTTGATATATATGAATTATCTATGTGTAAAGGGGAAAATGGAAGAAAACTACTTTTCAATGTGATTTATCACCTATTTACTTTTTTTTTAACTGGTGTTTAAATTGTAAGGAAATATTGATCATATACATTTATTACTTTGATGTAACTGTTTCAAGAAGCCTGTGACATTTAGTGGTGGGTTATGTTTCATGGGAATTGTCACTGATATTGTATTAGTACCCATTTTCACATCGAATGATGTACTACAGCAGTAGCATTTAATTCAGTAGAGAATTAATTATCAACTTTGCTTAACCTACAATTTGTTACTACAACTTTTGTTTTAGAATACAGTGTCTATAGCCTACGCGTTATCATTTCTTCATATGAAATAAGAAGTCATTATTCATTTCATTGTCTGTAACTTTTGTGTAGCATTGTTGGATAGTCTTGGGGTCCTAATAATGCCTCGGGTTCGTTATCAGCTCTGGCTATGGTGGTCAAATCATCATACTGAGGACACAGGTTCTAACTCGTAACTGTTACGTTTATTGACTATATAACAACAGACAAGAGGTGGCGCTACACCTCTTACATTCTGCATTAAAACTGCTCTGAATGATTTGTCTGAAAAGGAATCAAAATACCTTGAAATAGGTTTTGATCAGAATTTCCATTCGTTTTCTATGTGCTATTTGAGGTTTTCCCATCGTGTTCCGTCCTGTCGCATTACAGGCATCACCAAGTTCAAGAATGAAGAAAATATATGCCCGTCCGCATGTAAAACCTTGTGAATCGTATACAATTTAAGACAAAGATAAACATGAATAGCCTTGATTATTTTGATAAATGTGTTAAGTTTGGTAGAGATAGAGTTTGAATAAGATGAACAAATGTCACTAATGTGTTGATTCATCAAGTCACACCAGAAAACGATTTTGTTGCCATACCAACAAATAATTTCCATTGCATTTTGTGGTGGTTTTGTTCTTCACTAGAAAATTTATATGCACATAAATCATTTACATCTGGTAATACCCCCCCCCCCCCCGATCCCTCACTCCTTGACACCAATATCCCAACATTGGGTGGACTTCATATGCTTCACTACCGGTGGTAGTACAATGGAAGAGCAAAAGAACATGTCTGACTTACTGACTTAGGTGCATAGGACGGTGTGTCCCCTTGCTCCCCTACGAGAAATCATGTTCCAGTCTGATCTGTCCTGGGCTCGTTGCTCTGCCTCTTGTGTGGATAATCCCACATCGTATTGAACCTGGTCCTTCCATCTCTTTGGAGGGCGTCCCCGAGGTCTGCGTCCATTAAAGTCATTTTGGAATGCTTGGTATGGTAGGCGGTGATGCGGCATGCGTAAAACATGGCCAAACCATTTCAAGCAACGTTTGGTTATTTCCTCGCATATGGTGCTTGGGATGTTCAGTCTCTGCCTGATCTCTTCGTTCCTAATCTTGTCCATTAGGTGAACTCCAAGGATGGTCCGGAGACACCTCATTTCAAATACTTCAAGCTTATTTCTATCAGATTTTCGGAGAGTCCAGGATTCTGCTCCATATGTGGCAATAGGGAGGATAAGTGCTCTGTAGATCCTGACTTTGAGACTCCTAGAAATATCTTGGTTGGACCAGATGGCACTTTTCAGTCTTCCGAATGCCCAAGCAGCCAGTCGTGTACGTCTCTTCACGTCCTCTTCTATGGATGGAACTGTGCTGCCGAGAAAGACAAATTTTTCCACTTTCTCAATGTTGGTGTTGTTAAGTGAAATATCTTGATGATCCTCTGTCATGACTTTGCATTTTGTTGCATTGATTTTCATACCCCATCTTCTACAAGCCTTCTCCAGTTCATTTGTTGAGATTTGGAGGTTTTCAAATATGAGTTCCATCAGGGTGGTGTCATCTGCATATCTGATGTTGTTGATACGCATGTCACCCATCTGTATTCCACTTTCTAGTTGTTGGATGTCCTTCATCACATATTCCAGGAATAGGTTGAAGAGACTTGGAGAGAGGAGGCAGCCTTGTCTTACCCCAGTTATGACATCAAACCATTCAGTTATCTTTCCATTCACCATAACAGAGCATTTGGTTTGTTTGTACATGCTCTCTATGAGGTCAACTAAGGGCTTGTCCACTCCAATGGAACGCAGACATTTCCAAAGAGCTTCTCGCCATATGGTATCAAATGCTGCTTTAAAGTCAACAAAGTTCAGGTGGATTGGTATCCTTCTTTCTCTGGCCTTTTCGATGATCTGTCTGACGACAAACACAGCATCTGTGGTGCCCCTAAGACTTCTGAATCCACATTGTTCCTCCGTCAGATGATTCTCGATAGTTCCTTGGATTCTCATGAGGACCATTCTACAGAAAACTTTCCCGGGTATTGAGAGTAGAGTTATAGCTCTGTAGTTGGATGGATCCAGCTTGTCTCCTTTCTTAAACACTGGGGTGATAAGACCCTTGCTCCAGTCTTCCGGGGTTTCACCTTCCGACCATGCTGCATTTATTATTTTGAGCAGGAGTTGTCTCATTGGTTGTCCACCAGCCTTTAGAGTTTCAGCAGCTATTTTGTCCCACCCGCAGGCCTTGTTGTTCTTCAATAGTTTTATTGCCGTCTCTACTTCTTCAATTGTGAAAGGTTCACTTGGATTATCTGTAGGTTGTGGGTCAGGTATGGTCAGAAGAGCATTTTCGTCCCTTGGAAATTGCGTGTTAAGGTGGATGCTAAAATGTACTTCCCAGCATTTCAACACATCTGCGGGAGCAGTTTTTAAGATGCCGTCCTTGTTCTTAACAGCAAGTTGCATTTTGTCTCTCTCACCAGATAGTTTCTTCACCTTCTTGAAGAGCTCGTGGCTGTTGTTCTTTGTGTGAGCTAATTCCATCTCTTCCACCTCTTCCACCTCCTTGTCAAGAACATGTCACATGTTTGTAATCTCTTGCGATGTCCATGACTAAGCATTTTGAATCTTCTAGAATTACACATGTTTTATTATTAAACAAATATGCAATGACACTCAAGGATGTAGCTAAAAATATCGGGAAAATTGTACTATTGATGTTCCTGGGTGCGAATAGTTTTAGCGTGTTCCGAGAATGAGTCATCGTATTCCTTTCCACCTGTATCATGCCTTAGACACTTCTGTCATAACATGTACCACAGTGGCGGATCCAGGGGGGGGGGGGCCGCCCCCTCCCCCCTTGAGAAAAAAATCATGTAAAAACACATGTTTTTTTTACCTTTTTGGGGGTTGGCCCCCCCCCCCCCCTGGCGCTCAAGGAGGGGGTGCAAATTTTTAAATTTTCGAGGACAAAAAAAAAATGTGCTCACATTCCACCCCCCCCCCCCCCCACGTCGCCCTCTGAGCGAATTTTCGGCCCGCGCGATTTTAAAATTTTCGGGAGCAAAAAAAAAAGAAATCCCGGATCCGCGCCTGATGCACCGTACTCCCATTCATATCACATTAAAAAAAGAAATAAAAGAAAATTTCACAGCTCAAATAAAACATTTAAGTATGTTTTTAGCTGGCGCTATACAGGTACTGCCATGCTGCAGGGTAGTGCAGTTACTGCGGCTCAGCGTGCCCTGCCCACAGGAGTTGGCCGCTGGAGGCACTGCTTGCTGAATTTTGCTAGTTTGGGGGGGGGAACGCATAGTTCACTTTTTTCCTAAGGAAAAGATAAAATTTTCTTGACGTCAGCAATAACAAATGAACTATTCGGCAGGAAACGTCATTTCTAGTAAAACTAATTTTCTTGTTGTGTATACACTAACAATGCAACAATCTTACGATATAAAGGGTTATAATATGAATTATACACAATCATGTTGGATGAACATGCAATCGTGTTTGCCTGACACCATTTATACTATAGACATATTACAATTAGACACTCCAAAATTTGATTTTTGAAGCTCAGTTCCCCCAATAGACCAGTTTTTCCTAACTTATTCAAAACATGTATAGGGGCCTGTAATTATGTACTCGAAATAAGTAACATTTGATAACAGTATAAACCACACTTGGGGTTTTTGTGGGTCCAAAACAAAAAGGGATAAACAAATCCTGGTACACCAGACTAGCGTATACTGAACCCCACCCACTTTTCACCTTTGCCACGGATATTAGACGTCACTTGTTTACACTTTAAGTTGTGCGTGCTGGATGGACCTACTTCGTATAATAGGTCCATGATTAGAGTTTAATATGAATGTAATATAGCAAATAGATGAACCACGATTCGGCATATTTTTCAAGTACGGGCGTAATCACTTAGATCTCGAGTATAAAAGCCCAACAAGTTTGACGCAGCTTCATTTTTGTTCACGTATATATCCACATCAATCCTACTTTAACCCAGTACCAGAGAGCTCGTGTGTATTTTTACAGTTGCAGCAAAAATGTCGGAACATCATTTCAGAACAGGTGAGATATATTATGTTCAATAGGACGTGATGACTCTATAAGTCTTCTTAAAATCATTCGACTTCCTTTCCTCATTTTCCGCCGAATTTGAAATTCCCGTATGTATAGTAGTCTACACAACTTTCAAAAGTTTTTAATTTTCTCATGGACATTGACCAATATCATTCAAACTTTCAGCAATCTGCTTTTTTAATTTTCAGCTTTCTTTAAAAGCAATTTGCCACTAAATTTGGATATACATGGATAATGTTTTATATGAATCATATTGGATTATCTGTGTTATGTAATTTAGTTTTTAGATTATTGGGAGGTCAATTTCACAGGTTACATAGTATTAGTGCATTTACTATTGCCAATTAAAGAATTCTAACCAACTATACGTCTTGCAAGTGAATTAAAGCAATTTCGCTTTCAACATGCAAAAGTGATTTAAACACCTTGTAATTATGGGTGTAGCTAATAGCTAGGTGGCTTAAAAATGGAAAATAATTATTCAAACCATTACCAATCAATAATATAATTACTTGTTTTTATTATGATTATGATATTGATATTGACAATAATGCATGATAATAATTATGTTGCCAGGATAATGCAATACTTCAGTCAATTGCAGACTCCCTTAAGAGAGACAATGTGAATTCCTTGTTTATCATGCAATGATCTGAACTTTCAAGACCTTTTTGAAACACACTTGAGGTGGAACCACGATACCCCCATGTCAACAATGATTTGTGCAAAAGACGTTAATTATATGCATAGGTAACCATCTCATAAGCATTAAGATATCAATTACTTTGATTGGAAAAGTTGAATGATTGTCATTAATGATTTCATTTGTTAATGATTTTCAGGAGAGACTTTGCCACCCCTTAAACCAGGGGTTCTTCGTCTCTACACTATGGCATTCTGTCCTTTCGCTGAGAGGACGAGATTGGTCCTAGCAGCAAAGGGTATTGAGTAAGTGTTTTGCTTTAATTGGGTTGAATTGACAAATGGTACTGTAAAGCATTGTATCATTACAAATGTACATACAGGATCATAAAAACTAATTTTGGGAAGTTTCCAATGTTACATGTATTATGTAGTAGTGAATTGTGAATTTTGCTTAATGATGAAAATCACTCAATTTTATTTTTGTGTGCATGTGTGACTGTATTATGTGTGTGTGTGTTTGGTATGATGTATGCTGTATAGAAGAGTTTTCCAGTGATTTTAGGTGATTCAAGGATATCTGTAAAGCGCTTAACGAAGCCGTCCGTGAAGACTTGTATTCAGCGCTATATAAAAGCTGAATATTATTATTATTATAATTTGCATTATTTGTATAGATATTTCCTGGAGATTCAAGGGTCATAGCGTTCAAACCTCAACATAACATTTGATTTGGGTACACTGATCCATGGATTCTCTATCTCCCCCAAACCTCTCTCTCCCTCTATCTCCCTCTCTCTCTCTCTCTCTCCCTCTCTCTCTCTCCCTCTCTCCCTCTCTCTCTTCCTCTCTCTCTCTCTCTTTCTCTCTCTCTCCCTCTCCCTCTCTCTCTCTTTCTAACCCCTCTCTCTCTATTTATCTCTCCTCATAGCTATGAGTTAGTGAATGTGAACACATTCCAGAAGCCAGAGTGGTACTTCGACAAGAACCCAGATGGCGTGGTCCCAACTCTGGAACAGGATGACAAACTGATCCAGGAATCCATTGTCACCTGTGAGTATCTAGACGAGCTTTACCCCGACACTGCTCCAATGTTCCCATCGGATCCGTACCTCAGAAGCAGGGATAAACTTTTCATTCAGAGATTTGGAAAGGTAAGTTTAATTTAAGATTAGCATTTCTTTAGCAGCCTGATTTCATGAATAAGATGCTTTCCTGGCAAACAGTACATTTAAGTCATCGTCTCAAACTTTGTCAATCATATCTAATATCCAATATTATTCAAAGTTTATCCCCCACAATGTGAAAATTAAAATCAGTTTAAGTCTCTGCCACATAATTATGAATATTTACCCAAATTATTGTAAAAGAACGTTCGTGTACAGAGCTTCTTTTCAATATAATAAATTATCCCCTGATTTGCGTCAGCTACCCACTTTTGCCACCTGTAAGGCTAAATTAAACATTCTATAATTACCCCTTTGATGTACCTCTTTATGTATGTATATATGTATTTTTTTAATGACTTATATTATGTTTTGGGCTGATACTTTGTAATTATTTATTCTGTTCATTGCTAATGATATGTATATGTTGTACATTGTATAAACTGGCCCCATGGCAGACTAGCAGCAACAATATAGTTGCAGCTGAAAATAGGTTACCAGCCGTATTTTGTCCTTTTTTTCTCTCTGTATGATTTATACTTTGTATGTATTTTATTATACGGAAATAAAAACAACAACAACAGGTATATTGTACTCTTTGGCGATAAGTACATGTATTACTTCAGTATTTACAGAAAGCAAGTAGTAATTTGATTCGTCGTCATTTTGTTCTTGTGTTGTAATTGGCCATCATTCTTTTTCAACGATATGTAACACATAATTACTGTACCCACATTCCTTTTCAGTACATTTCAGCTTTCTATCAGTCGGCTAAACAAAAGGGAGCAAACGAGGAGCTTAGGTCTGCTGCCCTCAAGCAGGTTGAATGGGTGGAACAAGAGCTCAAGAAAAGGGGAACACCCTTCTTCTCTGGTAAGCTCTATTTTGGTTTGATATCATCCTCTCAGTTTAAAGGTATAGACCAGTTATGGTCATGCGATTGCATTGTGAAAGAAACGTTGTGGAATCGATCAGAAAAGGTTGATCATCTACAAAACAAAATCTAGCATATAAGTATTTGTGTGTACTGCAAGGTTTTGGAATTGTCAAAATTGTCAAAATGAAAAGAAATTTGGCCCAGTCTTGGTAAAGTTACAGCACTGTACACAGAAAGATGTTTATATGACTACGCGATATCTATCCAGTCCGGAAAGATATAATAATGTACCAACTATAGGCGCTTTCCCGGCAAAATGTTGATCATCACGTATTGGTCAAAACATATTTTTTCACGTGATTGGTCATATGAGCTACCATTTCATTTGTTGAGAGGGGGGCGTTTCCAAAACGGGTCTTTATCTTAAATTACTATTCCGTTATACATATTGCCGATATTATGATTTTTGTCGCTGTTGTGTTGTTGTTTTTTGTCTGTCACATTGTTAGCTGTTTGACTAGGTATTTTTATTGTGTATACATGTGAATAAAAAGTTCCAATAGTATAACAATGTAGTTGATTTTATTGCATTAAGTGACTCTCACACTCTGCCGTGTAGGCCTACCGTGTGCCACCGTGCGCGAAAATGTCTGCGGACGGTGGAGAACGGCGAGGGCACACGGTGGTTCGTTATCAAAGCGGGCAACACGTTAATAGGGCGTTGGTGCTTATTTACACCCGGTGGGACCCGGCGAAAGTTTTGAGCATGTTCAAAACTTTGGCCGGCTGGCACCGGCCGCAAGTAAGCGGCAAGAGGACGGTGTTGAACGGTATGAGGACGGTATGAATACGTTATGAAAACGGTCACACTGTATGAACACGTTCACAACACGCTCATAACCCGTTACAGAACGGTGATGAAAATGGAGAGCGGACTGACCGTTGCCGTTCAAATCGGGGTATTTATGGCAGTCGTGTCATGACGTCAGCAGTCCGGGGACTCGCTCACAGGACGCTCCGAGCGGTGAGGGGACGCTAAGTGACTGGTAGGTGGCTGCTACAAACTCGGTGCACACGTTCGAGACCCGGTATGGGCCCGGTATGGAAACGGCCAAAATTTTCAACAAAAGTCAATCTGGGCGGTGAAGACGGTAGAAGCACGTTCAACACCCGGTATGCGCCCGGTGAGAACGGTCAGAAGATGGCAAGGAAACGGTGAAAAGATTAATTTTATGATTTTTGTTTGCGGCCGGGGAAAAGTCCGCTCAAAACCCAACGTTCTGGAATCTGTTGTTTTTTTAATAGCCCGGCAGGTGGACGGTAGGCCTGCACGGCCGAGTGTGAGAGCTCCATTAGATATTGACTACTTTCATTGACCATGGAGGCTGTTGTGTTGATATGTTGTAATATAATAAATTGAATTCAAGGGAGTTTTGACAAATTATACGACAAGCTGTTGGAACATGAACATTTCAACTTGTACTATTTGATATGCTCTTGTCTTATTTAGGATTATCACCCGGTATGGTTGACTTTTCAATCTGGCCGTTCATCTACCGCATCCCGTCCTCGAGAAGTCTTGGTGATGGCGGTTTAGACTCCTTTGTTTTGTTGAAGCAGTGGATGGATCGAATGCGTCAAGATGAGATCATCGCTCCTAGGATTGTAGAAGACGAAGCTCTGATTGAATTCAGCACTCATTATCGCACGCCAGGGAGTAGATTTGATGAGATTCAAACCAAAGCTGTCAAGTAATGTTCATCTCTAAGAATGAACAATTAGGTTGGTCTTCACGTGAAGTTGAGGGTGTGATCTTGCCTAGCAACTTAACCCGTTGACTCCTAAATTCTCTCATTCCCGTAGACTTAATACAGGAGTCACCCGGTTCCCGTTGACAATGGGTTAATGTAAGATTATTTGGACAACTGATTTGCATATAATGCAATAAACTGTGTAACTTTTATTTTGTCTCGTGTAAAACGATGGTGAGAGGGGATGAGAAGACCTGCTGTGCACAACAATTCACTTATCTTTGTGTTATAAGATATTGAAATGTGAGGTGCAGTATACTTCCAGCATTTTAATTTTATTTTTGCCATGACCCAGTATACCCCATCATATAGGAACTAGGCTTTAGTTAACATAAGTGAGGATATAGTTGAATCGTTGCAATTCAACTTACAGTTTGGATTCCTAAACTTGTCCATGTTATGTCCAAACTAAAAATGTGTTTTATTTGATTGAGTAGAACATGATAAATATCTCAGTGCAGAAGTTTAAAACATTTCTATCTAATTCTTGTTGCTTCCGTACTATTTTGTATTATATCCTGCATCAAAAATTTATTTAAAGAATATATAAATATATTTTTAAAATACCATTTTGGGAGAAAAAAATAAAACTTAGAATTTAAAGAAAGTCAATTTTTTATTAAAAAAGAATTTAAAATATTTTGTTTTCATAGAAATAAGATTTGGAGAAAAAATATCAATTCAAAATTTATTTTTTTCAAATCCAAAATAATACTCCCAAATAGTACTTCATATACCGGTAGTACTTTTTTTGAGCAACCTTGAAATATTTGAAATATTTCTGGTCACGTGACGAGCTCTCAACCAATCAAAAACCAATAAATTTTGATGCATTAGTGACTCCAAAAGTACCATTCGCTTCCGGGCTGCGCCCCTCAGCAATTGGAGTCACCTCTTGCGCATAGTTTTAACCAGAACCTCTCAAGACAGTGTATATTTGTATACTATACAAAAGTCATGTACTATTCTATAATTTTGAAAATAGATTTAAAAGGTAGGATTTTTAAGTCTTTTGCAATAAAAAAAAGTCTTTCACAGGTGATATGCCACTCTTTTTCTGTCTGCTGTCAGATTACCAAAACAAATACTTGAGATTGATGTTGCTAGTCCATTCAATAGATATACGAATTGGGATATTTGTCAATGGTATAGACATGCCAGTCCCCTAACACCTCTGATATATAAACTTCTAAATATTTTGTATTTTATGAAATCTTTGTATGTCTTGTGAATAACCTTGAATGATGCATTTCATAATCTTATGAGATATTCATTCAATTTAATATGATTAACTTTCAATTATACTGAAAAGATATCAATATTTCTAATGTAAATCTTACATACTCTGAATGTTGATTTGTAATTCAATATTGTTTTCTATTAAAATCACATATGAATTAAAATGAGAACTGTTAAAGAGAACAGCTATTTGTCTTTTGTTATTCTGCTTTCTGATTTTTCTAAAAATGTAATCAAATTAAAATGTGCTGTACTCATTGCAGTTGACTCATTCAATGTCACCCATGCCATTCTTCCTTTTGATTCATTAATGTTCCTTGACATAACAATGGAGGTAGCCAGACTTGACGCCATTGGTCTGATTCTTAAATTGGTCAGTAGTAGTTGGTCATTGCCTATGTAGTAGCACAACATACTAGAAACAGTGGCGTCACCAGGCGAGTACACATGGGGTGGTGGAGTTTTGGGGGTTAACCCCCCCCCCCCCCCCCCCCACTGAGCGAATTATTGGCCGACGATTTTCAAATTTCGGGGGGGGGGCAAAAAAGAAAGAAAAATTGTTGTTCTTCCCCTTTAGATCCACAGTTTCTTATTGCGGGTGATATTACCGAGGAGTATGGACAGATATCTCAAGTTAAATGATCCCTTTTTCATAAGGCTACTGAAAAATCGCAAATCAGACGTGATCTTTTGAAACGCTAGTTGACCATTTAACACACAACAACATCTCCTTCACCCTCATTTTTTGGAAAGAATTCGTAGGTATAAATCGTTTCCTTCTTGTCTCAGAAAGATGCTTTCCTTTTCCTTTTAAATGATTTTCCCTTCTGACAATTGACCCATTTCCCTTTTTAAAGAATGCAGTTTCCCCTTCTCATAAATACCCCTTTTCCCCTCTGATAAAGTACCCCTTTTCAAAAGTGATGATTTAGTGCCCATTTTAAAGAAAATATTTGGTCCCCTTATTATTAAATGTCCCTTTTGTTTCTGTTGATTGCACTTTGGTATATTGCCCCTTTTTACTTATTATTTCCCAATTTATTTATTTATACATATTTATACAGGTACACAATATCAGAAATAAATCTGTCGTTTACAACAGGCGCGGATCCAGGGGGGGGGGGGGGCAGCGAGCCTTGCCCCCCCCCCTGGCCACAAAAAAAATTGTGACCAGAAAATTACCTTTTCTTTTTTGCTCAAGGGAGGGGGGTGTTTAGTATTTTTTTTTAAAAGCAGTAATTATCGACCGGCACGATTTTCAAATTTCCGGTGCCAAAAAAGAAAAAAAAGTAGCTCCCCCCCCCCTTTGGCGGATCCAGGGGGGCCCGCCCCCCCCCCCCCACCCCTGGCAAAAAGCCCTGGGGGCTCCGCCCTTTGGACCCCACGCCAATAAGTTACCTGCCAGTGTCACAAATAAGGTATAATTATGCTCATCTGACGTAATTAAATACCTAAAGCCCTGAGCTTCCGGGGCTCTGCCCCCGAACCCAACCAATGGCCCTAAGGCGGGCCCCTGGATGCTCCTCCGACCGTGATTTATTGCCCAAAACCCCTGAGCTTCTGGGGGCTCCGCCCCCTGGACCCCACGCCAATTCGTGACCTGCCAGTGTCACAAATAAGGTGTTACAATTATGCTCATCTGACGATAAATTGATGTATAAACCCCTGAGCTTCTGAGGGCTCCGCCCCTGGACCCAACACCAATTTGTGTCCTGCAAGTGTAACAAATAAGGTATCAAAATCATGCTCATCTGACCGTAATTTATTGCCCAAAATCCCTGAGCTTTCGGGGATCCACCCCCTGGAACCCCACGCCAATTCGTGACCTGCCAGTGTCACAAATAAGGTATAAAATTATTTTCATCTGACGATAAAATGATGTATAAAACCGCTGAGCTTCTGAGGGATCCGCCCTCTGGATCCAACACCGATTTGTGTCCTGCCAGTGTCACAAATAGATATAAAAATATGCTCATCTGACCGTTATTTATTGCCCCCAAACCCCCCCCCCCAGACCCTACACCAATTCGTAACCTGCCACTGTCACAAATAAGGTATAAAAATATGCTCTGACCGTTAATTATTGCCCGAAACCCCTGAGCTTCCGGGGGCTTTGCCCCCTGGACCCCACGCCAATTTGTGACGTGCCAGTGTCACAAATAAGGTATAAAAGTATGCTCATCCGAAATAATTGATGTATAAAACCCCTGAGCTTCTGAGGGCTCCGCCCTGTGAAAAAAGTGAAAAACACGTTAATTTTATAATTTTTTTGAGATATGCCCCCCCCCCCCTGGCGTTCAAGGGGGGGGGGTCCGATTATTCAAATTTTCGAAAGCCAAAAAAAAAATTAGTGCTCACTACCCCCACTGAGCGAATTGGAATTGGTCGGAACGATTTTCAAATTTCAGCACACTAAATTTCAAATTAGGGAACCCACCCTAAGAAATCCTGGATCCGCGTCTGCCCCCCCCCCCCTTCGAAGTAAGTGCCCTTTTTATAGTTGGTGCCGCCTAACTTTTAAAGACGCTCCGCCGTCCCTGTTTATACCAATATGAAGGGAGTGTACACTAGGACTGTACACTCTCTACACAATAAGACCTTCCTACACAATATTGATATAATGATCATAACAGAGACATGGCAGAAGATCAATTCATCATAGGCGAGTGCTCTCCACGTGTGTTTACCTTTATAAAATATGTTCCAAGACCTTTAGAACCTTCATGATGATCGCTGTTAGAGATTTCTGGCAATCCTTTGGTGTGTTCGCTATAAATGAAATGTTACAAATAAAAGAAACAATTATAGCGACACAAGAACTGAACATATTTACATTGTTTTAATAGTGTTAGCGCCATGTTTTACAAGAACTGTACATATCTTCATTTTTTTAGTTTTGTTAGCACCATGTTTTACACTTTACACTTCACGCAACAAATCCCTTAAAATAAAGTTTAAATCTGTGACAGAAAACAATTGATTTACTGCGAGAATATTTACACAGTACGCATAACGACGCAATCAACGTTTTGTAGCCTTTCGTATGCCTCAGTCACACCTTTGCCTATTTGTCCAGCCGTTTTAACAGTTATTCCTATTTCTTGATATCAAGAAATAATTTTCTGTTTTAAAGCAATGGTAATTCCTGATATAAATGTAAGGAGGTCGTTGGTGGCGGGCGTTAGAATCGTGACCTTCACCCCGTTCCCACCCCGCTTATAGGTAAGCAAGGTTTAGTTTTTATGTGTGTTTAAGTTGTTACATTTGATAATATTGCTATTATGTTTTGTTCATACCCTGGTTTAAACGAATTAGTATCATTATAAGGCTTAAAAATATGTTCAAAGAACATGATATTTGTTAACAGAAAGGTGTAATTTAAGGCGATATTGTTGTTACGTAATGCTCAGAGGGTGTGACTTCTCAATGTACAAGTAGATTACACGTAGAGGAAATGGATGCGTAGGCTATGCCTGCACGGGTACGTGTAGAATGCATTTGTGTGTACGGTCGATTGGGCCTTGGAGTGTGACTATTGTAGTCGGGAACTTGGGCGCTAATGAATATGTATTAGGGTTTGGTGTAGAGAAACCTGATTAACGAAGAATTATGATCTTTTAAGTTTGATTAATTATGTTAGGAATTCGTTGTTGATCCAGCTTATACACTTTGGGCATTTGCAATGTCTTAAGTTAATGTCATTAACGATTCAAATATTTTAGTGTAGTGAGCACTGATTACCTATTTTTGTCATATTTTGAAAGATGTGTCGTTGTTTATTCTTGTAATTGATAACTGTTTATCAT